TCTTGCATCCGTTTTTTAAAGGATTGCGTCTCATTATCATTTAATTGGCGCGTAAATTGAAACAATCCACATGCCGAAAGGTGATGAAGCGGCGTACCAGGAAGCAGTTTACTTACTCGATCTACCTTTATAACAGGAACACGAGCTTTTGATAACGCACTACTTTTCATGCCAAGACGCCGCATTTCCCTCGATAAACGAGACACAATTTCACCTGCTTCCCCAACTCCAGGCTCAACGTCCATCACACCTACGAAATCCACATCTCCTCCTACTTCTAGAAGACCCAAGACCACCAATCCACCAAATACAAAAACATTCGCATCATATCCTGCAGCTTGAACAATATTTTCAAGCTGTTGTCTGGCAACAGAGCATTCTTCAAACGCCAAACGACCCGTATCTGAAGTCAGAGCCTGTTGAACAACAAAATTCCCAATACCTTCCCAACAATGATCGTTTATGGGGGGAATAGATGATTTCCAGGGTAACGCTATCCATCTTCTCGCACCCTCCCGTGCCGAATAAATTTTCAGAAATCGTCTCATATACGCTCTAATAAATAGAAAAACAAAACAATAAATAACTAGATAAATAAATTCATGTATTGTTGATAATAGGATGTTGCAAAAAATGTTACATCAAATAAATATAAAACAAAACAAAACCAAAAACAAAAAAACAAAAAACAAAAAAAAAAAAAAAAAAAAAAAAAAAAAAAAAAAAGAAAAAAAAGAGACGAAGATGTACAAATATTTATATTCGTCACTCATGACTCAGGATAGCTTCAACAAAAAGCAAATAATAATAATAATAATAATAATAATAATAATAATAATAATAATAATAATAATAATAAGTAAATAAATAAATAAAATAAAATAAATAAATAAAAAAAATAAATAAATAAATAATAATAGTAATGGTAAATAAATAAAGTAAAATAAAATAAATAAATAAATAATAAATAAATAAATAATAACAACGGGTAAATCATACTAACGTAAATTACCACAAATGTGATTCACATTGTCTATAAGCTGAAAGTATTCACCTCCAAACGTAGAAATGAAAGAACGATCAGAACTCAGCATATTCTGTCCATCTCCTACTGTCAACCGCGGAACTTGTGGAAAACGTTCCTCGAAATCTTCTAAAGCAAAAATAGTGCGAAGAAATGCTGATCTTCTCTCAAATAAAAAAACGGGTGTAATATCTCTCAACAGTTTGTCTCTATGAATATTTTTCATCCCTACCGCCTCTTGTAAAGAGCCAAGTAACTCTTCCTCAGTTTTTTTGTTTTCGTCTGATGAATACAATTGAATTATTAACTGACGATTTATCCCAGCCTCTCCAGACTTTTTTTGAGCTCGACGCCCTGATCCTGTTGGCACATTTGTAGATGTCTTGTCAATTTTCTTTTGCCAATATCCATCCTTGTTGGTAATTACACCGTTTACTAAAAAAGAAACAAGACGTGAGATACATTGGGTTCTTTGAGACTCTTTATGCTCTATTAAACTGCCCAATTTATTTTCGACACCATTGGAATTTTTCATTCCAACAATTTGCGCTACCAAGGCACGGCCTAAGAGACTCCTCAAACGCTTTCTCACTAGCCAGCCAAGTAATACCGGTTTAATTTTCTCCAAAGAGGCTTTTTCATCTAAAATGGGTCGTCTTATGTAATTTTCGTTTGCAGCGAGCACAGCTGAGGGCTCACCAATCCCAAAAATATCTGCGGAAGAAATAAACTCATCTGAATGCCTCCTCTGACGCGGATCCGGAGTTCCCAAATCACTGGCTGAAGGGAAGTCATTTGCAACAACGGAGTGCTGCGGCAAAAAAAATGGAACTTCTCTTTTATTTGCGTTGGTTGCACAATCACCCTCCAGATCATCTCCCTTCTCCTTTGTTTCTGTTGCCTGCCGCTTTGCCGCGCGCGTATAAAAAAGACCGGCAAGCATAAAACACCCAAAATTTACTAAATAAAAGTTACTATATAATAATAATATTAATAATTGTTATTATACGAAAAAAAAAAAAAAAACAACAACAACAAGAGCAACGATAGGCCCCATTCCGCGAAGCGGAGGCGCAAATAACAATGATAATGGTAATAATAACCCTTACCTTTAATCGTCCTCATTTTCCTCAAAATAAATATGACGCCCCGCACGCCGGCCGCCATCGCAGTGCACGTCCGCCCCGCCACGCGGAAATGTAAAAAAGAGCCCCGTCGCCCGGAGACGGAGCTGCAGCGGAGAGCGCGATGCACAAGCATGCCACGCAGCCGCCAAGAGGCAGCGCGGCGACACATTGACCCGTTGCTGCCAAGAACAAAAAAACAGCAAAATAACAACTCCACAAATCAACAAAACAATATACAAGAGACGAAACGCAGGAAGGGCACCTGCCAGGAGCATCGGCGCCATGCCGCATCTGCGGAGGGTCTTCCGCCCTATTGCCGCGTGGGGGTGTTCTTGGAAGCGGCGAAGCCGTTCCAGCTCGGAGGCTTTTTTCGTGATTGTGTTGTTTGTGTTTATGCGGATGGTATTTCTCCGCTTTGATTTTTTATTTTTTATTAAAGCTTGTGAAGGGAATGATCGTGGGAAAGCTGGCTAAATCAATTAATGTATGTTTATATCCTGATAAATGAAGACATTCTTTATGATACTTTCTACCGTATGAATCTTTTGGGAAGAACGCGACTTTATTGGGGCAGGGAGCCGATAGGGGCTGGATAATATTTATTTTTATTTTGCCATCCCACCCACCCCCTTTTGATTCCCACCTCGCGGCGGGGTCTTGTGGCTGGAGGACCCCAAAGTCTGCCACTTCGTAAGTAATCATATTTAAATCCTAACTGAGGACAAAGGACCATGCTAGTGGTCCACAGAATTCTATATATTAAATGAAAAGAAAACATTGAAGCAATTAACTAACGAACCTTTTTTCCTAACTTGTTTGGTTTCCATATGTTTTCAGGATCCGGCCAGCTGCCCAGAAGATTATTTGACTTTGTTTATTATTATTACTACCAATATTGTTATAAATATTAATAATATTATATGTATTTTTTTGTTTCTAGATTATGTTTGATCTTTTTGATTTTGATAGCTCAAATCCTTTTAAAAGATTGAGGGATGAAGAAAGAGAGTTAGATAATTTCCAAGCACGGCCTCAGGGTAGATTTGCTACACAACTTGTACAAATATACTTTGTGAGAATGTCAAAGCTTGAATCGGAGAATGAGCGGAAGAGTGGCACGGAGGTCTACAGTTTGGAGGATTTAATGCCTTCTTTGGCGGAGCAAGTGGGTTCTGTAGCTCATCATTATCAATTAATCGAAGAGGAAAATGTTCCAATATCATTTGCCCGTACCAATGCTCTTTTGAAACCTCCTAAGAGAGCATTCATAGCAACTGTATTAGCTATACTGATACAAACTTTTGTATTTCACGAATGTGGCGTTTATATATCGGTTTCTAAATTTGATGCTTGGTTTAATGGTTTTTCTCGTGTTGGGGGAATTCCAATATCGCGTTGTTGGTTAGATACGAAAGCGTATGTTGCCAAATGTATTGCACAAAAAACACGAATTGCTGTGTTTGGTCAGGAGACTATTTGGAAATACTTCAATAATATTCAAGAACTACATTGCCTAGGCGACAGGGTTTTGTGGATGATTTTAAGAAGTGCCAACTATCAGCATTTGCAGTTAAATCAAAAAGAAAAGTTGAATTTTGTTTCCTTAGTTAACGAAACTTCCAATGAAGAGGTTTGTAACCGGTACTGTGCTCCAAAAGATACTTTTTTGTGGCGCATATGGTATAAGGCTTTTAGTCGCTTATTTTCTTGTTGGGCTAATCCCACCGAAAATAAACTTCTGACTGCGGAGAAATTGTTTGTGGAAAGTATTGAAAATAGCAAATGCCTTATTTTAAATTTGACTAGAATAATAAATGGAAATGCCAACAATACTGAATCGACTTATTTGGTTAATGAGTTGTATCCTCTTTGTGGCGGAACCTCTGGGGAATTTGCTGCAATTTGTCTCTTTTTGGCATTAAAGTCTTCACTTGTTTTGCATTTTGCGGGCGAGCCGACAACGAAATTGGGTGTAGAATTCTCTGCTGAGGTTATGTTGAGACTATTCAATGAACTTATTCGGTACTATCTTTTCCTCTCTCCTTCTTCTCGTCACTACCATTTACTGGATATATGTCAGGCTTTATGGCAAAGCCCTGGAGTTTCATTTTCAAAATCAATGTTTATTCAATCTTTTGCATCTCAACGGCAAAAGCGAGCCCCTGTAGTATATCAAGAGGATGTTTTTAAACATCCAACCATGACAACATGTACTTTGTATAATGAGGGAAGCGAAGTACAATCAAAACGTTTTTCTATTTGTATTTTAGATGAACTTCGGTCTGAGGAAGGAGTTAAAAAATTGGTGAAATGCCTTGAGTTTCAGCGAAAAAACATAACCACCGTTTGCGATCTGTCGAGGGTCAAACAAGCTAAGTCTCATGAAGTCTCGGTTGCTTGCTCTTCTGGAAAATTGATTAAGAAGCCTTTTTTTGAAGAAAATATAATTGCCTCTTGGTGCACAATTGAGTTGCCCAAAGAGTCTGAAGAAGAAAGTTCTTTTATTGAGAAGTTCTTGAGGAATGGTGCGGATTCTTTGGTCAAGAAACGAGTTCATGATGCCATGTCAAAGTTGAACAGTGCTAATTAAAATTAGTTTTTATTTTTAGCTTTTTTGAGAGTTATTTTTCATTTCTTGCATTTTTTTGCGGTTTTTTTTTGCATCTTATTTTCTGAAGTATATTTACTCATGTTTCTGAATTTATATAAGGAATATATGAGCAAGCTGACTTTTTTGTTGTTGTTACGATTAATATGAATTTTTTAAATCCAATTTATTTTTAATATCTTTATTGTTATTATTAATGTTATAATAATAACATTAATAATCAATAACCGTATTAATCAATAATAACAATAAACAATACTAATAATAATAATCATCATCATTGATAATAGTAAATAATAATAATAATAATAATAAAAGACCGTGATAATAATGATAATTGTAATATAATAGTAGCAATAACATAATAATAAAAAATAATATAAAATATTAATAATACAAAATAATAAAAACTTTGGTAATAACATAATAATATAAACAAGATAGAAATCATATTAATAATGATAAACATGACAATAATAGTATTACCGATAATAATAATAATAACAATAATTGTAATGTAATATTAGTAATAACATAGTAATAAAAAATATGCTTTTTTTTATTGTGTTATTATTATTATTGTTATTATTATTAATATTATTGTTTCTTACTGTTATCGATGATGATGACGATGATTATCAGTATTGGTTATTGTTATTATTGATTAATACGGTTATTGATTATTAATGTTATTATTATTATTACTATTATTATTATTTTTATCGGTATTAATATGATTTCTATTATTATTAACATTATTATTGGATTAAATGGCTTTATTTTTAATTTTGTTCCTGGACCTTAGGCTTAGAAAAGAGGGTAAGTCGAATGCGGGCTTGTAGTCACCGTTTCTTAAGGATAACATGTCTTTCCCGAGTTGTTAAACAGGCCACTCTTCCGACGACTGACCCAGCACCCGTGCAAGGGTTTTATTCTTCTTTACAGTATGACGACTTTGGTGCTTTAGATGTCCCGGATTTGGCTACCACGCTTCTTCCCTTTCAAAAAGAGGGTGTTTATTGGATGGTGCAACGAGAACGTGACCACATTGGAGGAATCATGGCTGATCACTTGGGAATGGGGAAAACTGTACAGATGATTGGGTTATGTCTTTCTTCTCATCATTTTAACAAAGCAATCGATGAAACTCATATTCAAACAATGCAATCCAAGGCTGCTAACTATCGTTTACTGACAGTTATTCGACAGCTACAACGCATAAACGTTATTGCGAATTGTTCAAGGATCAATCGTCCAGCTATGGACCTTCGAGCATTGATGAACAAAGTGGAGGAAAATGCGGCTCCAAGCGATGAATCAATGGACTCGGTTCGTCAGGAAGTTGATAAATGGCTTAAGTTTGCTAGTAAGTTTCATCCTTCATATGAAAAGCGGGCAACGGCTTTTTTGTATGATGAACGAAAGCGATCCTTTGAATTAATTGAATCGAGGGATCTTAGAACACTTGTTGTTGTTCCAGCGGCGCTTATGCTACAATGGAAAAGTGAAATTGAAGCTAAAGTGAAACCATCTCGAGGATTGAAGGTTTTTTTGTATCATGGGAGCAACAAGGCTATTACAAATACAGAGTTAGAATTGTATGACTTTGTGATCACTACCTACGATACACTAACAAGCTCTGCTCAACTTGCATTAACACCCATATTCGATGATAAAAATATGTCCTTTAATCGAAAAGAGGCCGGACCTTTGTTTCATGTCAGATGGAAGCGCATCATTTTGGATGAGGCACACATGATTCGTCACGCTAACACACAACGTTGGCGAGCGGTTAAAGAATTACAAGGATTTCATCGATGGGTCGTTACGGCTACACCTCTTCACAATACAA